TAGGATGACTCTCATATGCCATTTTCTTATGGAAATTCTGGAGAGGTGGTTGCAAAAAACTTCTTGCTCAACTGGTTTAACTTCAGTTGGTTTGGGCTCTTCAGGTTTGGTAGAGAGCTCTTGGAGAACAAGACGGTCTGATTCTTGTTTAGCTTAATTTCTCGAATTTTCTTCCTTAAGGAATGCTATCTCAGTTTGGAGATCTTGGATAGTTACTACCTTATGTTTTTGGGAAGGGAATCTACTGAGGATATTAGTAATATTGTAAGTATTGGCAACTTGAGGATGATTGGTAAAGACACTAAGAGGATATTAGTAATATTTAGATGAGTCTGTTCAAGTTCATCATCAGCAACATCGAAGTGTCGCTATCTTCTAATAGAGATTGTTCAATCTGGTTAAGAACAGATCATCTAATATAAGATTTCTAACTTTGTTAGACAACTTGCAGTATTTGCTATATGGCCCGGTTTGTTGCATTTGAAACATTTGCCAGAATTGGGAGTTTGGAAGTTTGTTGATTTATTTTTACTGGAAGGTTTTAGATTTAAGAAGAATGGTTTGGTCTTCCTGAACTTGGGTGCAGAAGACCTATATTTTGTAATCTCCATATCCTTGGTTGTTCGTCTCTTGCGAGGCTTTGCTACAAGGTGGTAAACCAATTGTTCACAGAAACTACCTTAGATCTCGGCAGTCTGTGCTCTATCTTTAGCTAATTGTCTCAATATCTTATCATGTCGACAGATTTTTGAGAGCGACATGTTGAATGAGACTGGTGAGTTGGCCATAGGTGATTTGTTCGTAAGGAATAATATCACCAGAATGTTGATTTTGGAGTTCTTCTTTAACTAGATCCCTAAGAGATTTAGGTAGACCGTCTAGAAATTTTTCATCGAATATGGAGATTTCCATCAGGTTTTTCGTACATTCGGGTAAGAAAGGAATCCTTATACTATCTGAAATCATAAAGGGTTTTACACTTAATGTTGTTAAGTATCTCAGAAGATCTTTCCTTAAGATAACAAATATAGAAAGCCATCAGACTACGCCATGAGTGGAGTCCCCCAAGTTCGTATGATAGAAAGTTCAGGACCAATCTCAATATCCAGTCCAAAAAAATGGGCAGACCTATTTGAAGAAGAAGAGTCTCAAGAATCTCAAGCTCAACTAGCACAAACCATGTCTTCTCCTTGGACAGAAGAAGAACTCATGCAATGGCAACAACTCATGGGCATTAAAGATCAAATGACCATGCCTGCCTTATTTAAAAAACAACTGAGAGATCAGTATAAATTGTATAAAAATTATTGCTCCAATGTGGCGGCACAAAGCCACGCATCTTCTTCCAACTCTGTGGCGGCCCAAAGTCACACGCCCTCCTCACTTCCTGTGGCTGCCAGAAGCACCACACAAATAATATTGGAGGCTAAAAACCTCATTGCAGGTACAGGGTGTCCATCCAACATCCCAAAGACTACTACCAATCAGCCACTTTCCTCATAAGTGCCACAACCTATTTTTTTACACAAGGGCTCCTCCTCCGAGGATCCCATATTAAGAATGAAAGTGTTTACCCACTCATTCAAATTGAACCAGAATTTGGAATTCCAACCCCCAAGAGGTAGCTAAGAAATACTTAGCCCTTCAGCCAATTTTATTCAAACACCCACAAACATACCTAAAAATATTATGAGTTTATTCTCACAGATACCAGATCCTGCTTGTTTAAGCCCCACAAAGAAAAACAAACCCAATCATATGTCACACATACTACGATGTGGATTAACAAAATAATCTCACCAAAAGAATGGGGAACCCATCCAGCCAAATACAAAAGACTTTCTCAACCTTTTGACCCACAATTTTACAATTATTATGACTACCAGGCAGCATGGATGAATGCTTTCACCTTCCAAAAATAACTTGGAAAACATTCTTGGTTCATCATCTGGAGTAAACAATTAACCTCTGAATTCCCTCAGTGGTTTATACATCAATGGTGGCATGTATATGGTCATAGAGCTGAAATCCTCCCAGCACCAGTAAAAGAAGGATATGATTATTTCTGTCATAGGTTTTCTAGTGAACATCAAATACCCATATTCCTCCAATTTTCCCACCAATTTCATATCCCATGGATATACTCCCAGAAGTTTTCCTTCCACAAGCCAGAAGGACATAAAGGACTACCGTGGTTAGCCCTCCAAGGACACTGCAAATGGTATAAAATGTGGGATTCATCCGAAGCCTATGTACCTGTGGTAGACAAGTGGTTTCTATCCCATCCGCAGTATCTAGCTATAACAGATGCTGCTCAAATTTTATTTTTACAACAAAAGTCCATTGCAAGTGCACAACTAGCCGGTTCCAGCAGTAGGCTTGATTTTATTCAGCAAATGGAGCACATTCTTGATACCCTCAAGACACAAATTCCAGGTCAACAAAATCAAGCATCTTTATCTGACAAATCATCAGAGGAAGAAGAAGAAGAAGACCTTGATTTAATGTTTTGAAAAATTAATCAGAAATTACATCAGCATGACAACACAATGACATCACAGCTGACATCATCCATGACATCAGCTAGCACTTACTCCTAATGACATCATGAATGACATTAGAAAATATTATGTAATTTTTACTTTTTTGGCTATAAATAGCCCCCCATATCACTTGTAAGACACACACCTTACACTACCACTTGAGAAAGAATTCTCTTCCTCTCTCTAGAATTGGTTAGAGCTCTCTCTCTACTATATTAATATAAGTTTTTAACTTGTATTATCAATTTTTCAGTTTCAATAATAATCAAGTTTATATTTATTTTACTCTTGCCCAAGTTTACTTTTATATTACTCTGCATTATCGTCGGTTAAACCGCCTAATTTACTTTATCGCATTTTATTTACATGGTCGGCTCTGCCCCATAAATTTATTTGCTTGCACTCTGACTGTATCTTCTGCAGGTTTAATTATCTTGTTATTTGCTTCCTGTCCTTGCATCCATTTAATTTTCCCCTAATCTTTTAGGGGCTTCGCTTTATATATAAATATATATAAATATATATATATATATATATATAAGAAAAAAGTAAAAAATTGGTAAATAGCCACTTCTTAGGTCGGATATCAGAGTTTAGCCATATTTTAATTAGTATTGAAAAAGTAGCCACTTATTAATACAAAATCACAAGTCTAAATAAAAATATTCCTTTCTAAAACACGGAAGAGCTCAACGAATGACTATTGGACTTTGAATATTTATAATTTAAAAATTCAGGAATTATTCCTGAAGTTTAAATGATCTAAAGCAATATTCTCAATTGTTGATGTATAATGTGAATTCAAAAGCCATGAATCGTTCCTGCATTTTTCTGGATTTTGTACTAGTAAAGATTCAAAAATCAGTAATCTATCCTGAATTTTGTATTAAAGTTTAAAATTAGTGAAGTATAATGTGAATTCAAAAATCATGAATTATTCTTGTATTTTCTTTGATTTTACACTAGTAAAGGTTTAAAAATGAATAATCTATCATGAATTTTGTATTTAAAGGCTACAAATTGCTGAAGTATAATGTGAATTTTAAAATCATGCATCGTTCCTAAATTTTCCTCGATTTTGTACTAGTAAAGATTCAAAATCTAGTAATTTATCTTGAATTTTAAATTTTGCACTAGTTAAAGGTACAAAATTATTGAAGTACAATATGAATTCAAAAAACAGAAATCATTCATGGATTTTGAACTATTAAAGATTAAAAAACTAGGAATTGTTCCTGAATTTCAGATTTTGCACTAATAAAGATTCAATATTACAGAAGTACAATGTGAATTCAAAAATAAAAAATCGTTTATGGATTTCGTATTAGTAAAGGTTCAAAAATATGAATCGATGGATTGTTCACTAATAAATATCCAATAATTAGGAGTTATTCTTTAGTTTGAAAATACATCATATCTTTTTAATTTCAGCATTGTTTACTGGAGTTCCATTTGTCAAAACTTCGAACTCCAGTAGCAATTGCTGGAGTTATGTTTCGTGTTTAATTGGAGGCAAAAATATTAATTTAAAGGATTATTGGCTAATTTATTTTTATGATTTAAAATATAGCTATACTTTAATAACCGGCTCAAAAAGTGACAAACCTAACTAATTTTTACAAGAAATAATCCCTTTTCACTACGCACTTCTTTGAATTGGGCCAGAGGCCAACTTGCCAGCAAACTGGTGGAAGGCGATCAGAACCAACGCGTTTATTAAAATGGGCCGCCCACTATCAGTATAAGATCATTGCTTCCTTGTCACTTGTCAGCTATATTTACTCGCTGCTCATTTTCCTATTAAGTTAAGACGTTTAATTTTATCTACCTTACTTTTAATTTATATATTCTTTAGTTTGACTCTGTTAATTTGACTGAGGAGAGAAATATTTTCTGGAGAAGATCTTTCGGTGCATTAATCTCACATTCTAATTCTTTTTATTTGTTACGATAGAAACTCATTTTTGAAAGTTAAGTACTCAACTGATTTGGGATCATATTTAGGCGGAGGATGAAAAGAAAGAAGCTTTTATCAATTTTAATTTGTAGCCCTTTAGCATATGCTTAAGTATTCATTTTCTCCTTTTTTTTTCTTCCTCATAAAATTTAGCGTTTACGAGATTTGCAAAACAGAAATCTTTTTTTTTTCTCCAGAAAGATAATATATATTAGTACTTAAGAACTGCGTACAGAGGGTTGGGGCCTAACTGGCTCCCTATCACAAACCGTTGTTCTACTACAATACCGTAAGTTACTACTAGTATTTACAGTTGTCATGGTCATCCTATTGGAATTATCATCATGACAACTAATTACACACGAGGATAGTTGAACTATATTGCCACTTCGATTATGCCAAGCAATGTCCTGGCCTGATTGAGTTCCTTCCAAACAAGCCTTGTCCTTTTCAAAAATTTGTGCAACAAAAGTGGGAACAACTTCAAAAACCCTTGGCGATTAGACATTTCCAAAATTGTGGCCTGCCTTTGCTAATTGATCAGCTACCATATTTTGCTCTCTGTACGCATGTTGGACTACAGGATTACCTAGCTGGCCCAGATAGTACCTGCAATCAGCAATTATATTAGAGAATGCAATATTGTCAGTATGTAATACTATGGTAATATCCTTTGCATCCACCTCCACCTCCAGTGATCTGATGTTATTTTCATAAGCTAATTTCAAACCCTGTGTCAATGCATAGAGCTCTATAAAGGTGGATGATTCATGTGGTGCTGATCCAGCGAAGCCCAATATCCAGTCGGCGTTGGAGTTCCTAATTAGTCCTCCTATCCCTGCAGTGTTGTCTGAATATGCTCCATCTATATTGAGTTTGTAGAAGTGTGTAATTGGAGGATTCCATTTAATATTTTTTCGTATTTTTGTTTTACGATTAGTCGAAGGCAAAAGAAAAATCTACTTGCATTGATATTAAATATATTATTGTTCTCTCATATCATTAGTTTTTCTACGAAGGAATTAATTTCATATCCAAAATAAGCAGTATTGCTTTCAATTACACTTCACGCATAAAAGCTACAGTTAATGCCGTCAATCTAAAGGATCTTGACCATGTTGTGCACTATTACGAAACATATTTTTTAACATTATCTTGACTTTGTCCTACCTAGAGCCATCAATATTGAAGAATAGACATGTTCTATGACTGTATACCCAATTATAATACTAGGAAATATTTATAGGGATGGTAACTGCATATCTAAATATGGTATATGGACACATGAATGTAAAATATCTTCAAAATGCATCAACATTTTTATTTCTATAATGAGTTTCCTTGTACTGTTTAGCTAAAATGATTTTGAAAAAGAAAAAGTACTAGTAAAAGAGTACAACACTTAACATCATATGCACAGGGGCGAATGTATAGCCTAATTTACGGGGCAATGGTCTCTCCGCCAAAATAGGTATTTTATGTACATATTTTTCAAAATTGATCTAATATTATCTGCTAGCACCCATGCTCCAAAAAGGCTAAATGATGCACTTGATGTTAAGTTATTTACTTAGAGGAGTAGGGATCTATATCCATTTAATACTTTCTTTTTTCTCATTTTTTTAACGGTGCACTCATATTATAAAAATTTTAGATCCGTCTCTGCACATGCATTAATTAATCATACGGTAGAATTTCTATGAGAATTCGTGAGCTCATGCAAGAACTTAGAAGGTGGAAAAGGTCAAAGCTTACACACATTTTATTTCAAGCATATTCTCTATTTGAGTAATAGAAGTTTCCATCTTCACAAGATATTCACTACCAATAATTAATGTATTGGGACCCAATATCCAACTTCCACTCTATAAATGCTTCCTACTTTGAGCAAGTACAAGCACACATATATCCATATTTAATTATTTACTATGCTATCTTCTTCTCAATTCTTTTTCCTTTCTATTCTCATCCTGCAGTGTCTCACAGGCCTAGCAGCAAAATGCCACGTAGACGATGAAGCTGGGTTGTTAGGTTTCAAGTCGGGTATCACATCCGACCCGTCGGGTCTTCTTGCAAGTTGGAAAACGGGTACTGATTGTTGTACTTGGTCAAGTGTATCTTGTGGGGAAGACAATCGGGTCACAGGACTACAGATCTATGGACAACCCGAGAAAAACGTAATTTTGTCGGGTACCATCTCGTCTTCTCTTTCCAAACTAAAAAGACTAGCAAGTATTAGTCTTGAAAATCTTATAAACTTATCGGGTACACCGAATTTTCTCGTTACTCTACCTGAAATTCAAATTGTTTACATTGAAAACAACAAGTTATCGGGTCGTATACCCGCAACCATTGGTAACTTGACCAAACTTATTGCACTGAGTTTCTCGGGTAACCGGTTAACCGGCCCGATACCGAGTTCAATCAGCCAGTTAACTCAATTGAGCCAGCTCAAACTCGGTAACAATTTGCTCACTGGTACCATACCCAAGACATTTAGCAAGCTCAAGAGCTTAACTTTTTTGAGTTTAGAGAAGAATCAGCTCACTGGGTCAATACCAAACTTCTTTACTTCCTTGTCTGATCTCATTATCTTGGAACTTTCTAACAACAAATTTACTGGGAAAATTCCAAGTACTATTGCAACTTTAGCTCCACAATTAAGGTACCTTGAGCTAGGACACAATTATTTAACTGGTCAAATCCCAGATTTTCTTGGAAAATTCCGTACTCTAGACACATTAGATCTTTCTTCGAACAAGTTCTCAGGAACTGTACCGAAATCCTTTGCAAATCTAACCAAAATATTCAATCTTGATCTCTCTCACAATCTTCTTGTCGATCCATTTCCACAATTGTTTGTAAAAGGTATTGAGTCTTTGGATTTATCGTACAATAATTTCCATCTTGGTACAATACCAAGTTGGATCACTAATTCTCCAATTATATACTCTTTGAAGCTAGCGAAATGTGGGATCAAGATTAAATTGGATGATTGGAAGCCGAAGACTACTTATTTTTACGATTATATTGATCTTTCGGATAATGAGATTAGTGGAAGTCCAGTTGGGTTGTTGAACCAGACTGATTTCTTGATTGGATTTTATGCTTCTGGGAACAAATTGAAGTTCGATTTGGAGAAGTTAAGGATTGTTCAGACATTGAAAGATTTGGATTTGTCTAGGAATATGGTTTATGGGAAAGTTCCCAAGGCAATTTCTGGACTACAGAAGTTGAATTTGAGTAGTAATCATTTGTGTGGTCAGCTTCCAGCGACGAAATTTGGAGCTAATTCTTTTGCTGGGAATGCTTGTCTTTGTGGTTCACCATTGCCACCCTGCAAATCTTAGTGTACAATCAGCTTCTTGTCTTTGACTGTGTTTGAATATTATTGTATCACTTATATTGCTAATCATTTGGTACTTTACAACCAGGTTGTGGAACTTTTGTTCAATAAATGGTTGCATTTTAGAGCAGTTTACTTTTTGACTGCACTTTGTTTATTTTGGAGTAGTGACAAATGATCCCTTTCAAATATTTACTTACTTCTATCGTTGAGCAAATAGCACTTTTAGTCCCTACATTAATGCTATATTCTGATTTATAGTCCTTATGTCAACCAACTTATCCACTATTGACCTTCAATTAGATTATGTGAATGATCTAGATCTCAAAAAAGTTAACAGATAACGACATCCATCTAGGGACAATTCTAGTATTAATTTTTTTGTTTTGCTAGTTGACCAGTAACTTGCACCAGTTTACTTCTTAAATATGAATTTTCTTTTGCCGAATTTGAATCCTTAAATCCATATTTTCTATCTTTGTATACCTTTTCTTCAACGAGCTTTCTTGAGAAGAGTTCTCAAAGAAACTACTGGCAATGATCGTAACTAGGGGCAGACCTATGTAGAATTAAGAGAGAGCAACTGAATCTGGTTCGCCGTGTAACCTAAATCCTTGATGCATAATAATTATGCAATCACATAAAACGTACATACGAGGATCTTGAACAAAATAATCTTATGGAAAACGTAACTGTAGCGAAAGATATTGCTACGACCCGATTTCTGACCAAGTCGTAACCGACACTCGGTGTCTTAACTTGACCGAGCGAACCATCTTGGCTTTTCTATTCTGTACTATTTCTGTTATGCGATGCATCTCAACACAATTCGATATGATTTAGAGTAAATACTTTCTGAATCTTCAAATGAAATAATATTCTGAAAAGAAATTCATTCTGCTAACTTGAATACATTGAAAAACAAATGTAATGCAAAGTGGACACACATGACTTTGTTCTGACTCTGGCTATGAAGCCTTAAGAAATACTGAAATAATAAGACAAAATTCTGGAATCAACGAACTCCAAAAACTAAAATGGAGCTCACCAAATTTTCTGGTAATAGGAGGAGAATATCCTAGCTCGTAGCCTGCTTACCTGCAAAATCTGTGCCTACATTGACATGTGTTAATGTAGGTTCCCATGAAGAGAACGTCAGTACACCACGGCGGTACCCAGTAAGTAAGCAATCCTCCCTCTAAAGCTGGAACGAGACTTTAAAAGAAGTATGTATGCATGATAAAGAAAATTATAAAAGCTTCTGATAAAGAGTTGAAACAGACAACTCATATATCTATTGTAAAATTCTTCTAGATGCCATTCATGAAAATTCTGTCTTTTCTTTTCTCTTCTTTTCTGAAAAAATATAAAATTCAAATAGATCAATATATAAACTTTCTCGGAACAATCCTTGTAAATTTTCTAAAGCATTTTCTTTTTTTTTCTTTTCTAGGGAGTTCCATTGATTCTGACATTCTTTCTGATTGTGATTATGAAAATATCACCATATGATCAGTATGGTGGACGATCCCAGCCCGATCACCTGGACCCCATTCCTGTGGTGCCTCACAGTTCAAGGTTCTAGCATGCTCGCGTTCCTGTGCCTTACCAGGGCACTTTTATCATAGTGCCCGAATCAACGGTATACTAATCTCCTACTCTGGCATGAGTAGTTTGGGGGTAACATAAACCACTATAGGCTATGAACCCTTCTCAGAAATCTAAGGAAACTCCCAAAATATTCTTCTGAGTAATTCTTGAATCACAAAGTTTAAAACATTGATATATTTTCATAGTTCTCATCAAAATAGTTTCATAAAATTATGTAAAAGAAATTTTCAATATAGTCTATACAATTAAAGAAACATATGCAATTCCTGAATGCATGAGACATGATTTATGGAACAACAGACTTTTCTTGTGCTATTAACCATGATAATCATCTAAGATATTTTCTATAATTCTAATGGATAATGTGAGTCCACTCGTTCCATTCAGAGCCCACATTAACACCCTATACAGTCTAACAATAACTTATGGCATGATCTTTGTGAGAAGACAACTTTAGTAAAAGCATCGTCTCTACTCAACTTGATTCCTTGCTTTTGAATACCTTCATTTGCTCCAATCCAATAGGTTCAGCTCACCAAACAAACCTATACATAGTTAATTTAAATAAATACTAGAAGTTCCAAGATTTCCAAAATATAGAAACCCTAGGTTTGATTCTTGTCTCCTTCTAGGGTTCATCGTTAATCTAAGTTCTTGTAGTAGTTTTTATGAACAAATATAAACCATAAATCTCTCTAACAATTGTTGTTGAAAGCGGTTACGAAACTTACCTTGAATCACGAAATCCTAGGTTAGCGGAGAGACCTTGTTCTTGAGTTCTTGTTGAGAATCTAGCGATTTTGAGATGGAATATTGTTAGAATCGATGTTTTGGAGTAGTATTCTAATGATAATCGCATTGAAAACTCACCTTAGGTAGTATGAGAACCCTTGGATGACTTGAGGATGAGAGGGGAGGTTTAATCTTTAAATAGTGATGCTATTTTCTCTCTCCCCGTCCCTTTTATTTCAATTTCACGCCTTCGGCGTCACGGTCCGCACCCAGCGCCACCCTAAACGCCCCAAAAATTTTACTTCTGAATTTGGTATTTTGATTCGCGCCTGGCGTCCAAAATGCGGCCCATTTTTCTGACAGGATAGTCTTCGGTAAAACTCCTATAACTCTTTATAGGAACATCAAAATGACAAACGGATTGAAGTGTTAGAAACTAGACTTCAAGGGTTTTCTTTTGATATATAGATCAAATCTCGATTCATTATATA